TACGTTGTTGGTGGGAATGCAAATTGGTACAACCACTGTGGAAATCAGTATGGAGATACTTCAAAAACCTAGAACTAGTAATTGCACCCAGCTATTCCCCTCCAAGGCATCTTTCCAAAAGAGTTAAAAGGTATCATATCATAGCAACACAGGGACTGAAAGAGTAAAGGTCCTAACCTAGTTCTACTTGGCTCCAAAGTGCCTGCTCCTACCCCTGTAAATATGTGACATGTTAAAAAATTGCAGATATTCCCCTCCTGAACTGAAGATAGCTGTAGGACAATGAGGAAGTGAACTGAACTGACATACAGAGCAAAAATAGAAACTTTCCAGAAAAGTGTATTTTTCTGAATCATGATGTTCAATGTTTATATTCCTTCCTTCTTTTCTCCTTTCCCCATCCAAGTTGTTCTTTTATTTTGAACAGCGTCTTTCCCTTTCACAATATCTATTGTACCTTTTGGAACTTATTCACTCTTTCAATTTTTTACACTATGGGGACAATATGATGTTTACACATGTGAGTCTGATTTATTTCACTTATGAGTATGGTCTCTAGTTGCATCCATTTACCTATAAAAGCCTCAAGTTTATCTTTCTTTATAGCTGAGTAGTACTCCATTGTATAAAAATACCACATCTTTTTTATCCATTCCTCAGTGGATGGGCATTTGGGTTACTTCCAAGATTTAGCTATTACAAATTGTGCTGCTATAAACATAGGTGCACATATATTGCTGTGGTATGATATTTTTAATTCTTCTGGGAAGATAGCAAGAAGGGGAATAGCTGGGTCAAATGGGACCTCTAATCCTTGTTTTGGAGGAATCTCCACACTGATTTCCACAGTGGTTGTACCAGTCTACACTTCCACCAATAGTGGAGAAGTGTTCCTTTTTCCCCACAACTTTGCAGCATTTGTTCCTGGTTGATTTTTGAGGATAACTATTCTTTCTGGGGTGAGGTGGAATCTCAGTGTTGTTTTCATTTGCATTTTCCATACTCTAAAGAAATATTAGAACTGTCTTCAGACTCACCTATGCTTTCACTTCTCTGAGGTTCTCAGGCATTGCCTTGTCCTCTAATCCAAAATGTGTTCTGTTTCAGGTGATTATGTAACTATGTCCCACGAGTAGGCTACTCAGCACATCATGATTAGGTCATGAGGGCAGAGCCCTTATAAGAAACTCTGGGGAGCTAATTAATCTCTTCCACCAGTGATGATGCAGAAGAAGATGCCATTGCTGAATCAGGAAATGAGCTATCATCAAACAGTGAATCTGCCAGACCCTGGGTTTAGGTCATTCAGCCTCCAGAACTGTGAGGAATGAACCTTTCTTGTTTATAAACTATCTGGTATACAGTATTTTGTTATGGCAGTCCCAAGGACTAAGACAGTGTCCCTTAGCAACTCTCTCTGTCTCTGTCTGTTTGTCTATTGGTCTGTCTGTGCCTGTCTCTGTCTCTATCTCTGTCTGTCTCTATCTCTGTCTCTATCTCTCCCTCACTTCTCTCTCTCTCTCTTTAACTGGATATTATTCCTGGGCCCTGTTCTTTATAAACGCTATTTCATTTAGCAGATACAGACAATGAACCTCTGTCAAACTCCACACAAAATGTTAACAGACTATGGCAAAGCTAGCTTAAAAACTTGTCCTTGGGTGTCTTTGTTCCCTTCTTATTTCTCTTCCCCATACTTCTCCCAATAATTTGTTTATCTTCCAAATCAACCACTTACACTATACCTTTGTCTTAGGAACTCTTTCTGGGTGAAGCTAAACTAAAACACAAACCACTGGCACCAGAGCAAATGGAGCTGTTTCGATTAAGTATGACCAAACATTTCATAGTTACAGAGTCAGAGAACAAACTGGCAGGTAGGCAGGAGGAGAACGCTGGCAAGGATAGAACCAGCATCTGACCCAGTGTGGCCAGTTCTTCCACTTGCTAGCTGATGAAAATGGGAGCTCATGTTAATCTTACTAACTCATAGTGCTCAACCTGAAATAAACATAAAATAACTGCATATGTATGAGGATCGAACGAAGTGAATGACATGAGTAAGGGAATGAGATGTAATAATGCCAAAATGATATTAAGACACAGCTTTCGGTTTTTTGGGATTAAAAACAGGCCTTTACACTAACTATATCTTTATCCATTTTTGTGATTTTTACTTGGAGACATGCTCTCATTAATTTCCTAGATTGCTTAGGCTGAGTTCAAGTTTGAGGTCTTCCTGCCTCAGCTTCCCAAAAGTTCTGGGATCGCCTGACCCCAGTTTGTTTAATTTTTATTTTTGTATTTTATTTCTTTAGTATTAAAAAATATTTATTTCTTCGGTTTTTTGGGATATGTTTTCCCAGTGTCTTTCAGGCTGGCCATGAAGGCCGTATGTAATCTAGGCTGGCTTCAAACTTCACCTGATCCTCCTGCCTCACCCTCCTGAGTGCTGGGATTAAAGGTGTGTGCCACCATGTCTGGCTTTGCATTCTTTTTTTTTGAGACAGAATTGCTTCAGTCTCTTAGACTGCTGGGATTACAAACATGTGCCACCATGCTTGGCAAGTATAAAGACAAATCCTTTAAGATCTACACTTAAGGGGAAGAGAATTATGATTGGTACCCTAGAGAACATTTCTAGAAGGGAACAAGTAACTAGAGGCCTCAGCATGAACACATGCATGGGAAGTGAGAGTGACCTGGAAGGCAGCGTAAACTTTGCAGTCTTGAGAGGGCCCTGGGTTACAGGGAAGATGTCGCCCCCATCTAGATTCAAGGGCTGTTTGCATTTGTCCTGCATGACATGAGAGAGAATGTATGATCACCAAACTGAGTTTGTCTACCCTAGTGAATTCTAGTCTTTATGACACTTCAGCCATATCCACAGCATCACAAGTACTACATTTTCTACATCCACAAGGGCCAAGGCCAGATATCCACTCTAACACACCATATAAAGCATCCAAGTTTATCCTTCTTTATGTCTGAGTAGTACTCCATTGTACATCTTTTTTACCCATTCTTCAGTTAATGGGAGTTTGGGTTGTTTCCAAGATTAAGCTATTACAAATGGTGCTGCTATAAACATGCATACATACATACTGATGTGGTATAACGCTTTTAGCAATGGATGCACCTTGAGACCATACTCAGAAATTAAATAAATCAGACTCATGTGTAAACATCATACTGTCTCCCTGGTGTGAGAAACTTAAAGAATAAATAAGGTCTAAAATGCACAATATATATTGTGAAATGGGAAAAAATTGTTCAAAAGGAAAAAGGAACTAGGATGGAGAAAAGGGGAAAGGTCAGAAGACAAAACAGAAAAAAATGCAAGTCAGTTATACTATTAGTGCCTCTTAGTTCATTGAAAAGGAAGGTTTGTGATATCAACTGGAGCAGTTTTAATACCCCTGTCTCATACGCTGGATAACTACTTTCAAGATAACAATATACAATGTATTCACTATTATTATTCTCCTACTATTTTGTTATGAAATTTTCCATAAAATAAAAAAGACTTCCACAAATTAAATTTTTAAAAAAAACACATACAAACCTCCAGGCTAAATTCTGCTCACTGGGCATTCCCAAAATTCAGATGTTTAGTACCTTAAGACAAAGTACTAGACTATCTGAATTTTTTGGTTTTATATATATGCTCAGCATTAGGCGATAGGTAACACGTTACCAATGAGTATAAGACTACCACAGTGTTTCATGGTACTTGTGAGGATAAAGGTTCCAGGGTCCATATCTGTTTGCTGTTTCCCTGGCCCAAATTTACCTGCAATGATATTTGCTAGGGCTCCCAAAAGAAAACACTTGGTTTTCTGTCTCTCAGTATCCATGAGACCTTATCAGAGGCAGCTGCTTCTCACAGCACCAAGATACACCAGAACACATTTTTCTACTTTTAGGGGTCCCATGACCTCTCTCTGTAGCCTTTCAGATCTCAACCTCCTTTCAACACTCCAAATGTAATTTCCAAACTCTCCCATCTGACAAACCCCTGGCTATCTTCTAGATGCAGAAAAAAAGCAAATACCTCTTTTGTTGGTGATGAACCAACAACCAAGAATAAGTTATTAATTTCACCATCAGGGGGTCCTTTCCTATGCACATAGCTTGCTCATGAACATTGCAGCTCTGCTTTCACTAATGGAGATGAGTCATGCAGGGACAGATGCTGATGTTTGCTGAAGAATACCATGCCATGGAAAGAACAGTGAACTGAGAGACAGTTTGCTCTGACCGAACTTATTTATCCAGTTTATTCAGACTTGAAGTAGCAAGTAGAGAGCTTGGTTGCAACAGACCCTGTTTATCTTAAGCAAAAAATAATATCATTGAGAGGGCACTAAGGATACAAGATCATCAGAAGGCCAGAAGATGTAACATAGAAATGAACAAAAACCACAGAAATCTAAAGACTCAGTAACTGGAACCAACACAAAGTCTTACAGAAAGAAATGGCTGATCTTTACCATGTTGGTGTGATAATGAATCCTAAGTTGCCCGTCTTTACCTCTTCAGAGACCAAGTCCTCAGAGAAAGGGACTAACTGACCAAGCTTAGGTTATCTCTTTCCCATTAGTGGCATAGCAATACAGGCAAACTCCTCCCAGAAAAGTTACCCACGAGGGAGGGGGAGTAGTGTTAACATAAGGGGAGACGCTAAGTGAGGGACATTTAGCGATTTTTGACTTTTGGTGAGTCACTCCTTTATGCATTTGAACCATCTGTCTAACCAAAGTCTAGAAAGTTCATTATTAAAAAACAATTTCATTCTTCCCAGTGGATTTTCTCCTTTAAGAAACTAACCTGATGGTTTAAAATCAATCATTGCAGCTGTTTTAGGCTTTTCTTTTCTTAAGCATGTCTTTTTAGTTTCTGTTGTAAATTTTTATTTTGCTCTAGGTAGAAACTGTTTTACCCCCTCTCCCCACAACCACTGTCATTGACTAACAATTACCAATTTTGATCATTTCTGTCCATTTCTTTACAAGGGTTTCAGGGAGTTCTATTTCTTTCTCTTCTGCACCGCACTTTCCTGTGCCTCTATCAGTCTGAAATAGAAAACAAGACAATGATTCAAGAATGATTGTGTTGTCCCTCAGATCTTTGAGTAGCTTTCCCCACATTCTCCAGCATTATCGACATACTATTCTTGTTAAATCCTACATTCTTCTTTTTCAGAAGGACTGCGGTTCTTTGAGCTTTAATTATGGTGTCTTACATTCTTCAGTTGCTTTCATGCTCATGAATTTTATACTTCCTCTTATTGTACCTTATTCACCAGAAATTCCTTAATTCCCCAAAATTTACTTTCTTGAAATCTGATACCTTTGTATAGCTGCATTGTTTGAACGTACATTTTATTATTCTCAGTGAGAGTCATCTGGACACGAAAACCCTTTTGCTTGCCTGTCTGCTATCGTCAAGTAATAATTTTTTTTCAGCTTCCTTTCACCCCAGCACAAAAAGTTTTACATATATATATACATATATATATACATATAATTATCCCTGTCCACCAATTGAAATTCTAAGGGTAATCAAAGCTTTAGCATATCATTAAGCATAATTTTTTATTTATAATCAAAATGCTGTGGTAATCCTCATCTTCCAGTTAATCCCTCAATTAATATCTTTCTGAGAATCATCAGGTCAGAACCACCTAGCACAGGGCCAACCTTTATTTTCAACAATCAGCAATCTATTTCTTATTAGGACACATGTAGTCTAGAAAATAGCAAATATGTCTATGATCCTACCATCAAAATCAATGGAAAAGCATCACGAAGAAGGCTAGTAGGACACCAGACAATTGGAAATAAATCCATATTAAATTTACAAGGATCTACCTTTTCAAAACAGCAAGTTACAAATACAGAATCTGAACATGGAAGATTGAAGGTTAAAACCACTTCCTGGTATAAACTTAGTCTTTGGAATTCTTTTGGCTCAAATGTAGGGTTATTATCGTAAAAGTCGTCATGTGCTGCAACCCTGTACAGACATCAAAGTGAAGGATCAACAAAGAAGACCATTCTCAGACACAAGAAAGGAGATCCTGATGGGAGCTGAGCAAATAACATGAATTCTGGTTGGTTTAAGTAGAAAGAGAACTAGTAATTGAGAAAAAGGGTTTAACCAAAAGGATTTGGGTCCATTTGATTAAAAGTATTTTTTAAAGACTCACATAAGCATCCCTGAATATTAGACCTTCTGAGGTTTATCCATCACTAGTCATTTTCCAATTAACTGTACATCCTAATACCCCCTATCTGAATTCAATGGCTTCGGTGACTGATAATTTTGCTTCTTTTCAGAACAGCTATTTAACACTGAAGCTTTAGGACTGTGATTACTATCATGCCATGGGTTTGAGTTTGCAGTCCTACAGGGACCGTTTATTTCTCCTAGCTCATAATTTCATCATCAGGTAACTCAGGTAACTTCTCTATCAAGTAAATTTGAGTATGACCCTGTCCATCCGCTGGCTAGATTTTCCTCCAGCACTGATAATTCACTCTCAAAATAGCCCAGTTTATCTCCCTCCTTAATGAAAGTTACAAACCCATGTGTAAAATAATTAATAACAGCTGCATTTTCGCCACTATGCATAAAGTATTACATACACTATTTAATAACAAAAATGAGAAAATACAAAAGATACAATATGGGGGCTGGGGATTTAGCTCAGCGGCACAGCGCCTGGCAAGCACAAGGTTGTGAGTTCAATTCCTGATACCGGAATAAAAACAAACAAACAAAAAAATACAGTATGGATATTTCTTATGAAATAATGTTCAGTCAAACACAGAATGAAGTATATTCCATTTAACAAGGAGAAAATGTATTCATTACAAAAGTCAATAACTTATTTTTAAATATATAGTCCAGAGTAAAGGAAAATAAAAGACATGACCACCAAATTCACAAACTCACCCTAGACGGGGTCTCCCATGAAAGGGAAACCTTCCCTTGGCATGGAAAATAGACTATAAAGAGTTATTAGGTTACATAGTAAAAAATTCGATTATGAATAATAGATTGCATCATATCAAGGTACATTTATGAAATGCATAGCTGTACTATGATTTTATAAAGGAATATCACTATTTGTTAGGAAATACACACTATAATATTTATCAGTGAAGTGCCATGGTGTATGTAACTTGTTCTAAAATGGTTCAAAATAATTATTTATACACAGGAAAAGAGAACAAACAAATGATAAAACAGAGGGAACAAAATAATAAAAATTGGTACATCTGGGTGCTATTTTCAAATTCATAATTTTAATGACATAAGGTGAATCAAAATACACCAGACACAATAAACAATACACTGAACACAATACATTATTATTCCACTTATATAAAATTCAAAACCAAGTGAAGCTATTCTTACAGCACACATAACTAGGTGGTAAACCTACAAAGAAAAGCAAGGAACAGAAATGCCATAATAGGTATGTGGGCTGCATAATCTCATAATAGGATATTATAGTAAGATGGTGGTTGTCTGTTGTAGGAGGAAGGAGATTACACAAGGGAGGGCTGCTGGAGTGTGGAGAGTGCTAGCAGCATTCTATTTTGCACCCTGGATAAAGATCACACGGGTATTTGTTTTACAAGTATTAATCTGAACTTTTGCATGATTTCTCTTATATGAAAAACCCAAAGTATAAATAAATCAAAGAAAAAATAAAAGATTATAGGAAACAATGACGTAGATCTTTCCCAAATGGAAAGGCTACCAAAAGATAGAGGGTGGAAGTGGAGATAAGAGAATGCAAAAGGGGTTAAGATGTGTTGTGTACAGGTACCAATGGTCCATGATGAATATAATCATCGCACACTGCACACATGTATTATTAAATACAAAAATTTTAAAAAGAATAGAAAAGAAAGGGAGATGAAAGGAGGAAACAAAGGAAGAAATGGCTAAGAAGACAGGAAGAAGGAAAAGAAAGAGGAAGGCAAGAAGGAAAGATATCAAGGTGCAATTGATACCTACCTATGTATTCTTACTGCTCTTACTGAAGAGTGTTCTGTCCTTCTCTAGGCATCTTTGTCAAAACTAAGAAAACTCTCTTATCCTATCTTCTCTTATCCTATCTTATCCAGAAGCCCACTACTGTTCACAGCTGTCTGACTCATGCAAGCTGTTCCCTAACAGTTATTACTAGAGATGGTCCCATTAGTTACAGAAACAGGGAACAGATAGGAGTGATATGACTAGAGATCGGCCGTACACCTTGAGGAAGTCCAAAGAAAAATGTGCTCAATGATACCAAAAGGCTAAGATGAGAAACTAGCAACAACCAAAGGCAGCACTTGTACACCTTAACACTTCAGATCCTCTCTTTGCCTGTGGCCTATGGTTTGACATGTGCTTGAGGAATGTTGTGTGGCTGTAGGATGTGGTCAAAATATCCAGGAAGCTGTGTGCCATTTCCCCAGCATAACTCTGCCTTACTCTCCCACATCTGCAGGCTCTGATTAAGTGGTACCCCTCGGTACCTTGGGTGAAGGATTCTCTTGCCTGCCTCCATTTCACACATGGTCTCCCCAACTCTGCCTGCCTATGACTGTACATAGTAGAAGCCTTTGTTGAAGGTTGACTTCTTGGAGAAGCCTCCCTCCACTGCCCAAACTAAATCAGGACTCCTTGTAATATTCTCTCAATACCTTTGGTCTCATTCCTTCATTGCATGTAATAGTTTGTGCATTTAGTTTCCTATCTGTCTGCAGTTCCTGAGTGCAGTGTAATGCTTACATGACACAGTAGTTTTCCCATGTCCCTGCACTTGTCTGAGACATAGCACTCTTGGATTTGTTGATTCCTGGATGAAGAAATGGATGACACTATTTGTGAATTGGCTGTCAGTTTCTACCTTCTTTCTCAACAACTATCAAAATAATGAAAAAGGTCATTAAATGATATCATTACAAACTCTAATAATCATAGTGGATTTCCAATGGCATTGGCCAATTCAGATGAGATCATGTTTGGAAAAGTATTTTATACAAAAATGTCAATTACCTTTAGCTGATTATTTGGAGTTCCAATGGGTGACAGATTCATTTTCCTTCTCTCTTAATGCCTATCATGGACATAAACACCTACTGGGCACCCAATTAATCTTTAGTAAATGAATAAAAATTAATTTTTTGAAGTAACTGCATTTGTAAAGAGTATTTAATACATCTACAAACAAAAAAGGAAACTATATAAGGCAATGAATTAAAGAAAATATCTAAATATATAGCTGCTTAATTATTTTCCCTTAAAGGCTCTACAAAACTCATATCTTCAGCTCTTAAATGGTATGGAGGTGGGTGGTACTGGGACCTTCATACGAAGCCACATCCCCAGCCGTTTTTATCAAGACAGGGTCTCCAAATTGTTAAGTTGCCCATATTGGGCTCCAATTTACAATCCTTCTGCCTTAGCTGCTCAAGAGTCCTGGGATTACAGGCCTATACCACCATTTTTTGCTTTAATTGCTATATTTAAAGGAAATAGGGAGGATATAAGATATTGGGTCTAAAGTTAAGAGACCTAGCTCTTAACTGATAACTAAGTTAACTTTCACCCACCTTTTAAGCCTCAATTGATTGGTCTCTTGTGTCTATTATTTAGCTGTTGGAAAGGTTTTATTGTGACATTAATAACTTCTTTTAAGAGTTGTTAAAATATGAGATCCGCATATTTTCATCAAGTCTTACTTTTTAACAAAGATTAAAAATCAAAATTATCTCTTCAATGTCTAGATGAAAGGTAGATTTTTGTCCACAGAAAGTTTGGGCTCACTGCTCTTCAATATTTAGAAATAAAAAATCCCATAGAAAGACTTATCTTGACTCTGTAGGATTTACAGAATTTGTCACTGGGGGAAAACTGATAAAGGACAGTTAAAGCCAGGTATTTGCTCTGTTACACTGATGCACGTAAAATAAAGGGGTAGAACTGAAGGTAACAACATACAGAAGCAACTGGGTTATTTCTGAAGACTGCTGTCTGCCTCGCTCTGCATACAGAACTAATTGACGAA